CGTACGACGACGACGACACACACACACACACACACACACACACACACACACACACACACACACACACACACACACGAGAAGACGTGTGAACTCCTGGAGAATCACGACGGTGAAGATGGGGAGGCCTCAAGCACCCTGGCAGAAGCGCTGGGCGGCGGCGAGCGGGACGTGCTTCACCGTGTCCAGACGGAAGCCGTCGCAGTCGGTGAGGGCGATCCAGTAGCGGTAGACCTGCACCAGGGCCGAGAGCGTGTCGCCTCTGTCGAGGTTCAGCGACTGCACGCACCAGACATGTCAGTGACTCGCTCGCAATTGCCGACACACGGAGAGAAAAAAAGATTGTCGACTGAAGCAAGAGTGGGTGGTGGCGCCAGTCACCTTGAGGGTCATGAAGTCGCCGCGCACGAACTCGGGGTGCTTGTCCCAGTCGGCGATCGTGCCGGCCCGGAAGTACCACTCGGGGTCCTGGAACTCCTTGGGCCACACCCCGTCCTCCAGCGACTGAATCTTCTCGCAGGCTGCCCAAGTGACAAGTTAGCGGAGGCGATGGCGATCGCATTGAATGCAGTGCGTGCGAGTGTTGGCGCGTACGTTTGCCGTGTTCGTCTTTCCACGCACCGAACGGGTGCTTGTGGTGGTCCCTGTAGGGCATGGTCGACACCATCTTGCCCTCGTGCTTGTAGAAGAAGTTGTCGCCCGTGTGATTGAAGATCACGTCCAGCAGCACATACCTGTAATGCGGCCATCGCGATTGCAGCCATGTCAGGAGTGCATGCGCGTGGGTGCGTGCGCGAACAAGGCTGCGTACATGCCCATCGAGTGCGCGAGCTTGACGAGTTCGATGAGGTCTTCACGAGTGCCGAGGTGCGGGTCAACCTCCAGGAAGTTCTGGATCGCATACCTGTCATACGCGCACACAACACACCACACACACCACACACACACCACACACACCACACACGCATAAAAATCGACATCAGCAGGACACACAATCGGCGACATAGCACATTGGGCTGTGTTGCTACTGACCCGTGGTACGTGGGCTCGTCTATCCGCTGCTTGTAGATCGGCCCGAGCCAGATCGTGGTGATGCCCAACCCCTGTCGCCGTGCGTACGAGCGGATGATGGCTCTCACGTGAGTTAATGCGGGCGGTGCTGATGATGGGGTGGTGGCCTATGTGGCTGCGCGCACCTTGATGTAGGGCAGCTGGGACATGATGCCGCGCAGGTTGCCGCCCTGCCACTGCATGGCCGACGTCGCCCATGCCTCCTTCTCGCCCTCGGGCAGCGCAAACTCGGCCGCGCGCTCCGGCTTGTAGAGCGCACGCTCGCTCTCCTTCCCGTCGCTGAACCGGTCGGGCAACAGGAAGTAGCACACCTGGGGCAAGCCACGAGTGAGCAACACGCCACAAAGGACCAGTTACGAGGGTTAAGGTACGTAGACACTTTGTGTGCGCACGAGAATGACTTCATTGTATTTTCTTTTTCTTTTTAAATATCGATATTATTTTTCTATCTTAAAAAAAAAAACTACAAGCCTGTTGCTGCAAGCCTGGTAATTGAGTGAGTACCTGGTCGTTCCAGCGGCGGGGACTGGGGTGAGCGCCTCCCTCGGGCAGCAGGGCTTCGAGGTCGAGGTCCTCCAGAGAAGTTGGCACGGGCGGGAGGACTCTTCCGGAGGCGGCCTGTGGTTGCTCTGCTTGCATGCTGCTGAGTAGTTGGGTTGATTTGGTGCTGTTTTCTTCTGCGCGGCCACCACTGGTTTTTTCTTCTTTCCTGGCCACACCAGGACAATGTCGAACGTTCTTCTCGGCCCGTTCGGCCAGCGTCGCCGATGCCTCATCTCCTCGGAATTCGCTTGATTGGTCTCATTTTCTTTTTTCATTTCTTAGTTCTTTCTGCTTAACTTTCTCAATATATTTATTTTTATTTGATTATTTGCACGGATGGGAAGGCGAGGCGGAGGGGCGGTGCGTGGGGCCTCGAGGGGGCAGTCTCAGTCGGCAAGGAAGCCGGCGCTGCCGCATACGGAGGCCTACCAGCGGATGAATTTTTTGTACCACGCCGCGCACCAGGTCGTAGCCACAAATCCGGCCTTGGCCCGCCTCTACATCCGCAACATGGTCCTCGTTGCCAAAAAGCTAGTCCTCCGCATGTACCACCGCCCTGCCCAAGCGCCCATTTATTCTGTATTTATTCTGTATTTATTGTGTATGGATTATTTATTTATTTTATTTATGGGTACAGAGACGCGACAATGAAGGCGACCTACTGCAAGGGCTGCTTCTCGCTGCTCATCCCGGGCCTCTCCGCGTCTGCCCGCGTTGCACACGGTACAAGCGGCGGTCGTGTGAAGTCGTGTGCGGCTGTGCTCACACGCCACTGTTCTCTATCCAGGCGCCAGGCGTCGTTATCTCGTCACATGCCAACACTGCGGCAAGGCAAAGCGCTCCGTGATCCACCCGCCCAAGCCCCCATCACCCACGGTCCGTTCGCCTCCCTCACAACAACAGCAGAAGAAGAAGAACCCTTCTGTTCTGTCGCTGACGCCCGCTGTGTGTGTGTGTGTGTGGCAGGAGGGCGACGCCACGACAGTCGTGGGCACGGAGCCGGGCGAAAAAGGGTCGCAGTTTATGGGGGAGGATCGCCGAGAAGAAGGCCCGGGCCAGGAAGAGGAGGAAATGGGCCTCAGTGCGAGCGCGACACGACGGGAGCGATGCCTGGAGGTGCCCAAGAATCACCACAGCCGCTTCGTCTACACCAACCCCGCGTGTTTGCTCACCGCCAAGGGCGCCCGCGCCGACGAACCGCCCCACGTTGCATTCGTCTCGCGCCTCTCCTGCATCAACAACAACGTACGCCCCATGGTCATGTACAGTCATCATCAGGCGCTGACGCGAGCGCAACTCACCGTTGACGTCGCACGCGCGTCTCTCAGGGACTGTTCTTCTGCGCTCTCTCCAAGCATTTGCCCGGGGTCGCCACTCTCGGTGCCAACAGCTGCTTCGGTACCAGTCCACCCACCCACCGCTCGCTCCCATTCCATGGCCACGCTGCGCTGACGCACCACCCTGCATCATCGCTGATGAATGAATGTGAACCAGTGCTGAACGTGCCTGTCGCGGGAATGGAGGAGTCGATACGGTGCTACGCCACGGCCGCCGAGCAGGCCGAGGGAGAGGGCGAAGTGGATCAAGCGCAGACGCCAGAGTGCGGCCTGCAGGTGTGCAAGCCCGGGTGGTACCCACGCGAGGAGGAGGCGACGGAGGAATCGACCGACGCCGAACCGGCGGCCGGCGGCAAAGGCGCGCGAGGAAAGAACAAGCCGCGCGGCGCGATCCGGGCCGAGATGCGTCAGAAGAAGCGGGACATCGTGCGAGGCGAGCTGGACGCGAAGCTGAAGGGCAACCTCGCGCTGGACGAGTGCGTGGCGCACATCGAGTGCTCGGTGGAGAGCAGAGACGAGGCCGAGGGTCAAGTACTCCTCTACGCCATGATCGAGAGGCATGCAGCCCCCCCCCCAAACCACACGCCATTTCCTCTGCGCATACTCACTGTCGCTTTCTTTCGTTCTTTCTTCCTTCTTATTCTGTGGCGCGTCATCAATCAGGGTGTGGGTGCAGCCCGAGTATTGGACGGGGAAGACGTTCGTCCACACGCGAGAAGACGTGCCGCCCTACCTGGCCTACCTCGGCGATGGCCGCTTTGGCTACAAGCACTCTTGATTCGAATGGTAGGTGGGTGGTGCACCGCGTTGAGCGCACACATGTGGCCGTTGACGTTGGAACGGCAGCAGCTGGCGGCTCACGCTCGCACGCGGCAGGAGCTGACCGCACACATGAAATTCAGCAGGGTTGCGACAAGCGATTCGATTGGTTGGGTGTGGTTCCGTGGTGATCACCCTCGAACATAAAGTTTATGTCAAAGTTCAACACACACATACACACACACGCCATAAGCAAAGCACTCCACAACACACAACGCAGCCAACTGAAATCCAACTCTCATCAGCATGCAGAGAGCCTCCACCATCACCATCGCCTTGCAGCGCAGGTCTACTGCCGCCCTTCTCTCCAGCGTCTCTTGTCGCGCCCTTGCGCCCGCCTCCCGACGATACGCCGACCTGGGCGGACAGCTCAGTACGCTCCTCCCCCCAAAGCTCGTGTGCGGGCCTCACCTCACCTCGTGTCGTGTCGTGTCGTGTCGTGTTGTCACCCATGACAGACAAGGAATACGAGAACTACATCAGGAAGGAGCGGGCGCTGCAGAGAGAGCTCGAGGGCAGCGACAAGCACAACGTGCAGGACCAGGCGAAGGACGGCGAGAGGCTGACCTCGCCAGAGGGCGCAGAGTCGGAAAAGCCGCTCAACCCCGGCGGACGCCAGTTCGGCGAGCCCCAGCCGCCGGAGAAGGTCACCGATCCCAAGGAGCACGACCTCCCCCTCTTCTGATCCCTCTTCAACTCTTGTCGATAGACCCCATATACTTCATCAACCCCTACACATGATCTTCGCCAGCAGCATGCACAAGGTGTCGCACATCAACGTGAACCTCGAGTAGCAGAGGGAGGAAGCGGAAGAAATTCAGCTTGAAGGTGGAGTTGTTTTGGGTGGGTGCCCACGAGGCAGGTGCCACACCGACTCAGTGAGGTTGTGAACACTGAAGCACAGCGATACACATAAAGCTTCAACTACAAGAAACTCAAGAACACCATGCAACGTGCCGCCAACATCACCCAGCGCCAGGCGACCAGGGCGCTGATGCCCGCCCAGCGCACCCTGTTGGCGCGACCATACGCCATTCTAGGGGGGCAACTCAGTATATAGCGCCCCCCCCCCACCCATGTTTCACGCATGATCTTTGTAAGCTCACCCTTGTGCTTGCCAGACAAGGAGTATGAGGCTAGCCAGAGAGAGGAGAAGAGCAATCAGCAGCAGCAGCAGCAACAAGAGCTGGAGGGCGCGGAGGGCGTGCTGCCGGATGACGCGGCGGGGCCGGAGGTCATCGAGGACTGGAAGGCCATGCACGAGCCCGTGTCGGGCAAGGGGCGGCTTCACCCCGGCATCGTCCAGCCCGAGGATCTGGTGAAGAAAGACCCGAAGATGCACGAACTGCCCATTTTCTGAGTTGAGCCGCAGCAAAAGAAGAAGAAACGAAACTAGAACGCAAGGTTGGTTTGGGAGGTGGGGAACGAAAGCCAATGAGAGGAAGAGGAATAAGAGCCTTTGCTATGTGTGGTAGCTGATTATCTATTGGTGCCTATGTACCACTTACTCCTTGTGTGGGCAGCCATTGGCGCGTGCCCACTGAAGCACTTCATGGTGCTCCTTCTTGGCCGCAGCTGCCGTTGTCTCTTCGTCCCACGGACAGCCCTGGGCGCGGGCCCACTGGAGCACCTCGAGGTGGCCCTTGCCGGCCGCCGCCGCACAGGTCCATTCGTCCCACCTGCAGCCCTGAGCGCGGGCCCACTTGAGCATCTCAAGCTCTCCTCTCTGCGCCAGGCCTGCGCAGGTGCGTTCGTCCCACGGACAGCCTTTGGCTCGCAACCACTGCAAGCCCTCGAGAGTCCCCTTCATGGCCGCAGCGAAGCAGGTGTCCGAGTCCCACGGACAGCCCTGGGCACGGGCCCACTGGAGCACCTCGAGATGGCCCTTCTTGGCCGCGGCTTCGCAGGTCGACTCGTCCCACCTGCAGCCATGAGTGCGCGCCCACTGGAGCACCGCGAGGTCTCCCTGTTTGGCCGCGGCGGCGCAGGTCTTCTCGTCCCACGGACAATGGTTCACGCGGGCCCACTGAAGCAGCTCGAGATGGCCCTTCTTGGCCGCGGCTTCGCAGGTGGTCTTGTCCCATGGACAGCCCTGGGCACGGCCCACTTGAGCACCTCGAGATGCCCGCCCTCGGCTGCGCCTCGCAGGTCTTGGTGTCCCACGGACAGCCGTTGTTGTGGGTCCACTGGAGTACCTCGAGGTGTCCCTTCTTGGCCGCGACCTTGCAGGTCCCCTCGTCCCACGGGCTTCCCTCGGCCCGCGCCTGCTGGAGCTTTGCGAGCTTCCCCTTCTTGGCCGCTGCTTTGCAGGTCTTCTTGCCCATCTGTCTCGCTTGTTGTTCTTCTCTGGTCTTAAGCCGCAGGCCAAGCACAGCCACCACTAGTTAACCAAAAGGCGGCGGAGTGGACAAAAATGGTGAAGTCTATCTCCATTTGTTGTCCGTCCCATTGGTCGGTTGTATGATTGACAATTGGCTGGATCAACTCTTAAAAGTCACTTCAAAATTTAAAATGCTGACCGCGGAACTCAGCTTGACGGGAGATGGAAGAAGGCGCGCAGCAATTACAAGAAAGGGTTGCCCAACCCAACACAAACTAAAGCAGCAGTAGCAACAGCAGCAGCACAACATGTGGATCATCATTCCGATCATCATTCCTTTTGGCCTGATCTCGCGCAGCTACCACAAACTCAAGCAAGTGATACGACGCCGAAGGCACCGCCGCATGACCGAGAAGCAGGCCCTGGCCGACCACGACCTACACCACACCGTCCTCTACTGAGTGCACCACAGCCCCCCGCACCCCCCTCCACACACATAACTTCTCCAACGGCGAGGAGATGCCTCACCGCCATTAAAACCGTTCCGCGGAAAAAATGAGAACCAATGGAAAAACGGCAAACAACTCGACTTAATGTTGCTGGGTAAAATGTTGGCGATGCCACCAGATGTGGGTCATTGGCGCTCTGGTGAACACAGCACCAGCACTTTCACACCAACACGCACAAACACATATCCACCAACCTACGTGTGATTTGAAGCAGAAGCACCAACACATCAGTGGCACTAACGGCTACTCGACAACAAACAAGAGCAAGGATGTGGGTCTTCATACCAATCATTGGACGGCTTCCGCTGGGACCCATCAAGCGCGGCTGCCATCGATTCAAGCAGGCCATCCTCCGACGGAAGGACCCTCAACTCGCCGCGAAGAAGGAGGCCGACTATCAACGACATCACCACCACGACCCCAACGACCACCACTTTGTCAAGCTGGACTAGACCCACATGACAACACACACACAAATAAAAGATGCATCTCAATACCCACTCAAGGAGAAGGAGCGTAGCACAAGCGGAGGGTCGCTATCACCCTCCGGAAGCTGATTGTTGGAGTCGAAGGAGAAGTAGTACTAGTGCGACTACTCGGCTTTCCTCTTGGCGTCGAGGTGCTTCTTCTCCTCCGCCTCTTTCTTGACCTCGTCGCTCACCATGTCGTCGAGGGAGTACGGGTAGATGGTGCCGCCCAGCTCGTCCCAGAGCGTGAAGAAGGGCTGCGAGAAGTTGTATCGGATGCCCTTGCCCCAGTGGTGGATGTCGTGGTACGCAGCCGTCGCGAAGCACAGGTGAAGCGGGTCGAACGGGAGCACATACCTTCATGAATGGAATACATCCATCATCATGTCAGTCGGGCGCACTGTGTGTGTGTGTGTGTTGTGCGGTTGTGCGGTGTGTGCGAGAGAGAGAGCGAAAGGCGACACGGTACCCGCAGTGGTCGTGCACGGTCTTGATGGTGGCGAAGCTGGTGAAGAGGGTGGCCGTCCACGGGTGCATGTCGAGGAGCAGCACCGGCAGACCACCGCCCACGGTGTCCATGCAGAGTCCCTCAACTGAGATGAAGCACAATTAGCCATCATCGACGCAGCCAGACGAAGAAGGGCGATTACGAAAGAGTGACGGTGCGTGACGAGGGGAGAGAAGATGAAGATGGTTGAGGTGGGGAATGGACTGGGTACCGGGGTGGTTGTAGAGAGCGCCGAAGGCGTAGGGCACGGTGAGCTCGTGGTGCACGGAGTGGAAGTGGCGGTAGAGAAACTTGTTGCGGTGGAAGAGGCGATGCATCCAGTACTGGTAGGTGTCGAGCATGAAGGCGCCGATCATGAGCTTGATGAGGATGGTGCCCACGTCTTCCATCTCCCTCTCCAAATCGCGCGGCACGATCCACACGAACACGATGGCCACCACCATCTGGATGAAGTGCTGCAGCGCTACACGCGAGATTACGTGGCCCACCGACACCTTGTTCTTGGGCCGCTGTGGAGGGTCGATCTTGTACCTGCGCAGGAACTTGGGATCGAGCGTCTCCAGCACGTAGAGGGCGGTCGAGTAGATCCAATAGGCCGTCACGGGGCCGGCGATGAGACCGATATCAGAAGATTCTACGGTCGTGCCGAAGAGATCGAAGGACACCTGGGGCAGGTAGTGGTCAAAGACCGGGCCAGGGTGCTTCATGAAGGAGACCAGATCGTGTCCGAAATCGAGCGCCGTGCCATTTGATGCCATTTTCGATGCGATCTGCACGGAAGCAAATTGATTTAATAAATTATTTAAATATTATATCCGCAAAATCTGCGAGCTAGCTCTTCGCATTAGCCACCATGCCCCATCCAATTGGCCGGCAGACGTACCCAACTGTTGCGATCGAAGTTGCCAGCGTCGAATGCATGAAAAAATGCGCATAAAATGCAAAATTGCTGCCGGAGAAACGGACACACACCATTGCAAAAATGTCAAGTATTCTCGGGCTTTTTGTCTTGGCATTCTTCTCATTCTTCATATATGCCGCTTTTCTTGGGCTCGTTGCCTTCTCTTTCTTGCGCCTGTGAATGAAATCCGGCACTACAGCCCCAATCGCCGGCGAACGACCTTTCCCCCATCATGCGTTGGAAGAGGAGATCAACTCAGTACACTAGCTAGCATCTTCCTCTTTTGTCTCTCCTTCTCGGCCTTCCGAAGGATCCTCTCCGCCTTCTCCGGCGGACGCTGTCGTCGGTGTTGAAGTTGTCTCTTCAGGCTCGTTTCGCTTCTCCTCCGGCTTGAGCTTTGCGCGGCCGGGGCTTGTGTAGGCACTCCTGTTCCGTGTCACACAACTGTGAGACTTCATCCATTCATATCCACCACCCCTCCGGCTCCTCAAATCACCCAACGCAGCACAAACCTGGTCGGCATCGATTTGGCGAACGCCGCAGCCCAGTCTCCGGTCTCAGCGACGTTGGTCATGATTTCAATCACTGTGTGTCACACGTAGGTGGTGAGAGTCAGTCTGAAGCTTGTTTACGGAGGAGCGAAAGCGGGAAGGAGCGATAACGAGGCCGCAAGCTTACCATGGTTGATGTTGAGTACTGTCCTGGAGGCTTGGGTGTATCGCTTCACGGGCAAGCAGGCCGTCTGAATGCCTAACCGTTCCGCCTTGCCCAGCGTCATGCCCTGTTTCGCCAGAGAGAGAGAGAGAGACCAGATCAGCCATCAGGCCAAGCACGTGTTGCTTATGAAAGTGTCAGCCGCGGTACCTTCTGTATGTGCACGTCCGCAATGCCGCCGATGATGTAAATATGTTCAGGATTCAGCGTCTCCAGGATGTTAGGCGAGTCCGGCGACAGGTAGACGATCTTGTCCTTCTGCTCGTGGAAGGCGTCGATGAAGGACTCTTCGTGCTTGGCCAGCTGCCACTGAGAGGACCCGGTGTTCCTCTCCACGGCCTCCTTCACTCGGCCCTTGAGATAGGTGAGGTGCATCTCCAGGGGACGGCTGTGGTGTCGAATCCTGAGAAAACCACAACACCAGCAGCGAACGTGTTAGACACTCGCCAGTGCAGTACCATCGCCGACTGTCGCGCGTACCAGCCATAGGCGGTGTTGATCTGACTCGCCACGCTGCGGATCTCCTGTTTTCATAAATAGGCATTGATTTGATTTAATTCACAAATCATTTTATAAGATGAACTATGGAGAGGCCAGTAAATAAATCATAAGAAAAGCAAGGATTATAAGAACAAAATAAGCAATTATATTTGCAATTGGGTTGTACCTTTTCATTCAGAAAATCTTGAAAATCGAGATCGACGACGAGACGGGGGTGATTCTTCTCGAGGGGCACCGACGTACGAATTCGGGGGTTCTTCTTTTTCTTCCTCTCTGGTGGTTGTTCGCCGCGTGCGATGGCCTCCTGCTCCAGCCTCTGAATCTCTTGCTTCTTTTCCCTCCTCTTCTGTCGGCGATGCTGCCAATGCGCCACCCGTCGTTCCTCCCTCCGCTTCATCTTCGCCTCCTTTCGTGCCTGTGCAGCTTCCATCGTGTCCTCACCCTCCTGCGCGTTCCCAGCATCGCAATCAACATTCAGTTCTTTCTCATCGTCTGCTGTCGAGATGCCTTCGGATTGGGCACCGCCCTTGTTGGCCACGTCCTCCTGGTTTCCGCCTCCGGTCGCCCCCGTCGCTCGCTCCTCCATCCGTGCCGATCTCTGAGCTCTGTGGTTGTTGTGCACTAGCCTCCCGCTTCCAAGTGCTTCAGCACAGGCCTTGCCTTCCCGTTTATTTCCGAGGACCAGTTCAGCTGCCGTCCACCTGGTCCTGCTCCACGCCGTGCCTGCCCCCTTGGAAGAGGAGAAGAAGAAGCACCTCATGTGAAGGGGCTGGTGGCGCTGTATTGAATACGTGGCCCGCGCAACCAGCCTCGTTTCTGGTCTAACATTCATTGGCGGTGTGTGACCATCGATCGGGCGAGCCTCGGCTGATCCGAGCAGCCGCAATGTTCAAGGGTGTCTGCTGTGCACAAACAGGGCTGAGTGGTGAAGTGGTGAAGTGAAGCCTTGCCGGGTTGGGCAGGTTACACCTCTTTGGCCGAAGTGACCACCTCGATTTTCTTTTCCTTTTCCTTTTACTCTTTTTCTTTCATTTTATTTGCGCACAAGATGAAGAGGAAGGTGCGGGAGGAGCAAAATGGCGGGGCTGTGGCAACGGGCAAGCGAAAGAAGGAGGAAGACGTAGAGGCTGAAGATGGTGAAGAACAGGATGGAGAAACGATCTCTCCGAATGGGGAGGCTGGCGCGAAAGCAGATGGAGGGGGGGAGGCGAAGATTAAATTCACTCTCAAGTCGACGACGCCGCTCAACAAGGGATTTTCGTTCAAATCGAAGCCACCACCCAAGCCAAAGAAAGGGCAGCCCAAAGCAGCCGATGTGGAATCGAAACCGAGCAAATCGGCCACCATTGTGCAGCTGCCCAAGAGTTACGATGCAGTGGCGGTCTTTGAGAGCACCTGCCGTTCTTTGCCGGCAGCGGCCTGGACGACTCGCCAGCGACCTCGACCGCCACGCTCAAGTCGGGCAGCAGCGGCGGCTGGCCAGACGAATGGGAGTGGGAGGAGGATGAAGACAGCAGCGACGGCGAGTGGGCGCCTTGGGGCACCAAGACCAGCAAGAACGATTCGCTCCTGGCGGCCTTCAACGCGGTGCAGCTTCGGCGGTGGGTGGAAGAGGCGGAGACCAAGCAGGAGGCCCTCTTCGTCGAAGAGCTGCGACGACGAACCGAGCAGGAGCGCGAGAAGGAGCGCGAGCGGGAAAGGGAGCGCGAGCGTAAGGAGAAGGAGAAGGAGGATGCCGAAGCCGCCGCCGCCGCCACTGCGACCGGCAAGAAGAAGCCCGCGGCCAAGACGGCGACGGGCAAGCGCAAGGGTCCCGCTGCCGCCACCGCAGCCGCTGCCACGCCCGGTAGGTTTCCTCTCCAACGTGGCGCCACCACCACCACCACGCACTGACTGATCACATGTGTTGCGGTGTACGTGTGTCGTGTGTGTCGTGGTGTACGTGTGTGTGTCGTGTGTTTCGTGTGTCACTGGGACCCACAGCAGCAGCAAAGGGCGCAAAAGGAAAGGGCGCCAAGGCTGCCAAGGCCGCCAAGCCGGCGAAGAAGCCCAAGGTCACCAAGGGCAAAGCTGGTGCTAAGAAGGACGACGCCGGGCAGAGCGCTGATGGTATCAAAAAGGAGCGGGACGAAGACGGCGAACGGGAAAGAGACGAGGTGCGCCATTGCATCTTCTTCCTCCCCCTCTTCTGCCGTCCCTTCGTACGTACACGTGGGGCTCACGCTGCGCACACACCGCAGGAAAACGGAATCAAAGACATCGACGAGGCCTATTTGACCCTGTGGGAGCGCTTGCGGCTCGACATGATTCGATCCAAGAGCGAGGGTGCCGCTTTCCTCCCAACCCACTGGGAGTGCACACCACACCACACCACACCACACGGATCTGTTTGTTCTTCTGAAACTGAAACGCTAAGCCTGACGCTGTTCTCATTCGGCAGACCCCGCGTTTGCGCGTTACGCGTCGTTTCCGATCGACCGACTGAGCGACGTCAAGGTCTCCCTCACGGTGAACCTCTACCCGAACGGGTTTTCCCTGGGCGGCACCACTATCGGCGAGCAGGTGCGTACTTACACTTCTCCTTCTTCAAGCCTTGTCCCCCCAACAACAACAACGACAACAACGCGGGTGCGGTTAGGCTGAATCAAATTCTCGCTTTGTTGCGCTACTACGACTACAGCAAAGCGTTTCGTATCCGTACGACAGCTCGACGAAGGACTTCGTCAAGACGATCGACTCTCTGCGTCTCCCGCCGGACTTTGTCGAACTCCTGGACGAGATGCCCTGCGTCTACTACGACGGTACGCACGTCCAGATCTGCCAGCACTCTTCACACTCAGGCAGTACTCATGTGCTCATTGTCCGCCTTCACTCCCCGTAACCCGCAGGCTGCTTGGTGGTCGAAGTGCGAGACTTTCGAGGAAACAACACGTCCACTCTCACAGGTATTGACTCAATGAAGTGTGTCGTCGTGTCGTGTCGTGTCGTGTGCTTGCTTCCGGCAGGTTCGACAGCCAACTGAACTGATCGGCACGTTCGTGATATGGCATAGGTGGAGCGCCGGTGATTCGCCGAGTCCTGCTGCAGCCCGACACCGAGACCATCGTGAGCGATGTGGAACAGATATGCGCTGACCATGCCGACTGGACGTCCGATGACTGCCTCAAGATTGAGCAAAGCCTAGTGGTACCATGTGTGGTGGCGTGTGCGGCGTTGTGTGCTGCTACTGTGTGCTCATAATGATAAACCTCCGCTCCTCAGCTGGCGACCGCTCCTCCGCTGTGCCTTGAACCGGACATCAAGGTCGGGTTGGTGGCCAACGTGTTGAACTACAACAAGTGCAAGTACAACCTCACCCGCACCGCCAAGAAGAAGATCCTCTCCGCCTCCGACGTGCGCGGCGAAAAGGCCGCCATGCCCAAGAAGGGCGGTGTCAGGTGCGCTTGAGCTTCTCTTCTCTTCTCTTCATCCAAATGTGGTGACGTCAGTGATCTCAATATTGCGGTTTGTTTATGCGCTGACTGTGCGTTGCGTTCTGCAGCTTTGCGTTGATGGACTTCTTGAACAAGAAGAACTATCGGCCCTCCCAGAGCGCGCACGACAACGACACCCTTCCCCTGAACCGGAAGCCACTCAAGGACGTGGACAAGACCAAGAAAGGTACCCTCCGCTGCTCCAGTCAAAACACTTCAGTGTGTGCGTGTTCGTTCTCTGGTCATAAGACTTATCACCCAACGTTGCTGTTGTGCCTCTCGTTGTGTGTGTCGTGTGTGTTGCGTTGTGTGTGTCGTGTGTCGTGTGTCGTGTGAATTCATGGTACAGTCACCCTGCCGACCATGTCGCTGGCGCACGTTCGGAGCCTCAAGAAGTCCCCGATTCTGCAAAAGCGAGCCATCCAATTCCATGGCCGTGACGGTATCCAACAACAACAACACCGCCCCGAGCCCCGGGGTTGTCGTGTCCGCGCGCTAACCAACACCCGACAAATACCAACGACCAAACTATGACGCCGCTAGGACGCAGTTATTCTCACCTGGAGCTGCGGCCCAACCAGTACAACAACGGCTACGAGGCGGTCATCAGCGAGGGCATGTCAGCGGAGACCGTACAGGAGAACCCCACGCCTTTCCCCTTGGTACGCCCACAAGCCGCTTGCGCGCGTTGGGTGGTTGGTTGGTCGAGCGGTGGAGCGGTGGAGCGATCGATGAAAATTGTTGATATCGTACCGGTGGGCGCGGCTCAAATAGGGCAACGTGAGGGAGTCGGAGCTCTTCTTCACCCAGGTGAAGACCCTCTACGCCAAGGAGGGCAAGATCTGTCTCTACGACTCGGCCATGGTCCGGGCTCCCGCTCCCGTACGCAACCTCCCTTGTCGCCTCTGCGCTGAGTTCGTTTTGTAGAGAGGGGGGGTCTCAAGAGCTACGTCGCGCGTGCCTTTCCTCTGGTGTTTTTTAGCAGCAAATGCCGAACCTGAAGGCGACGGCCCCCCCGGGGGGCGGCGGCGCAATGCGGCCCAATCCCCAGCAGCAGGCCTACATGTCGATGATGCGCCGCACCGCAAACACACAACTGCCCGGTACGCCGCTTCTTTTTCCTCTCCTCTCCTCTTCTTCGCACGCGCATGTGAGGCTTTTTCGAGACCTTCGGCTGATGGTCGTTTGGTGTGGTGGCAATCGAGTCACCGTAGGCGGGAGACAGATGACGCACAGCCAACAGCAGGCCCTCTACCAACAGCTGGCCTCCCAAGCGGCCGGCGGCAACGCCAACTACCGCGCCGCTGCCGCTGCCGCTGCGGCCGCTGTACGCCTCTCTCTCTCTCTCTCTCTCTCTCGCACCCAGCTCTCATCGTGCGAGGTCGTCGTCGCCGTTTTCGATTGGTGTGTGCTGACCCCGCGTCTGCAGCAGGCCGCCGGGCAACAGCAGATGCAGCAACAGATGCAACAGCAGCAGCAGATGCAGCAGCAGCAACAGCAGCAGATGCAGCCGCAGCAGCCCTCCTACGAGCCGCAGCGTGGCTTCATGCCGGGTGAGTGCTCTCGCTCTCAAGGGTCCAGCAGCTGGTGATGGGGTGCGTATGATGGCTGGCTCACACGTGTGCGGTGATGGCACGGTACATGCAGGCGGGTACCCGCAGATGGCGACCAACGCGGGGCAGGCGACCGGGATGCCGCCCGGGGGGATGCCCGTCGGGCAGAGCAACGGTCCCCTCACGCCGGGCCAGATGAGCGGCCTGCCCATGAGCCCCCAGTCCATCCCCCACTCCGGACAGCCGCAGGGTGCGCCCATGTCTGGGCCGTTGACCCCGGGAGGAAGCCAAGCGGTACACGACACGACCGACACGAACGACACGTTGCGCAAGGTGTCCCGCCTATTGACGGTGTCGCCGACTTGGTCGCAGGTTCCGCCTCAGGCCGCCCAAATGGGTCCCGGTGGAGGGCAGATGCCGCCCTCGGTGGGCCAAGTCGGCGGAGGCCCCATGCCCGGTGGTACGCTGCTGTTGTCGTCGTCGTTTCCGTCCCCCCCCCATTCGTCTTCATGTTAAGCTGATGACGTGGAGTGACGTGCGCGATCTGCAGTGATGGGCGGCATGGTGGGAGGCGGCATGGGCGGAGGACCAGGCATGGTGGGAGGGATGCCCTCGTCCATGGGGCCGGGCGTGGGCATGTACTCGCAGGGAGGCATGCCCGCCGGCGCTCCACCTGGCGGTATGAGTCCCTCCCTCGACGTGTGCGCGTGCGTGTGCTTGCATGTTGCATGTGCGTGTGTGCGTGTGCGTGTTGTGTTTCGAGGGTCGGCTGCAGACCGCTCTGGCGTGTTTCTCGCGGTTGATTTGATGGTGGTGGTCGCTTGGCAGGGGCGATGAACCCGATGATGACGACGTACCGCCGAGGCTCGGGCGGGGCTGCGCCGATGCGAGGCCAGCCCGTGCGTGGGCGCGCCATGCCCACGTCCGGTGGACCCATGGCCCAAGGCCAACCTGGTACGTGCACTTTTTACCGTCATCTTCTCTTATTGACTTTACTTCTACATTTATTTAAATATGTGTGTGTGCATACTCTACAAATATGTGCATACATAGACTGTTTTCAAATGTTATTTATTTTCGTTTGGTGGCTGTCTCCGACCTATGTTCAGTGTCGGGAGGTGCTGGGGCTAGAGTGGTCCCTGGCCCTGGTGGCGGCGTACCACCAGCGGCATCTGGTAAGCTGGCGGTTTTGCTATCGCGCCCCTGCTTTGCTTTCTTGCTTGCTTGTTTCTTTTGTTCGCTTTATGCTACCGCACGCACGCACGCACGCACGCACAAACACACACATATTGACTGATCACGGTGTGCGCGTGTGGTGTGTGCAGTGGGGATGATGTCGCCTTCGGGAGTGCCTTCGCCGTCGACGATGGGTCCGCCTAGCTCGCCCTCGCTCACGGCCCCTTCGACGCCCACCACCATGGGTCCGATGACGCCCACGTCCATGGGCGGCATGTCCACCCAACCGCCCATGGGCATGCCGATGGGCATGCAACAGACCGGTACACTTCCCTCCCGTCTATTGCATTGAACACGTTAGCTGTTCGCAGTTGCGCGTATGCGTGCAATGTGCGAGCTAACTATGAAAACGAAGCAGGGATGCCGATGTCTCCGATGTCTCCCATGTCGCCGACGGGCATGATGCCCAACCCGATGGGTGCCCAGCCCATGGGGATGGGGATGCAGCCCATCCCGAACCCAGGTTCGCTTATTACAATACTACGCCCACCCGCACTGCTTCCTTCGTTACCCCGCTGTTCTGACCAAAGTGGTGACGGCAGGCGGCGTAGGTATGCCGCAGGGCATGCCCTCTGGGCCTGTGGCGGGGCGGGCGCAGCACCCGCAGGAGCGAAAATTCCTGCTCGAGAACATGCAGCAGAGAAAGTGAGGACCATGACGGTGGAGCACCACGTGTATGTACAAAAGGCTGGACCGAAATGAACGAGAAAAGCAAACCCTGGGCTGGTCGGAACAGGCAAGGGGTGCGGGCTGGGCTGATGAAGGGTTGTTCGAGTTGGGGTGGTGGCGCTGTAAGTACAACAAATAATAGACAAACGAGGTGGCACTCGAGCACCCTCCAAGGAGGGGGGTTGTAGTCGTAGGAGTCGTGAGTCGAGAAGAAAGGTTGGAGGGCCGGGACAGGAAAACTGCACTCCGCTTCGCATCGGAAGTGCCTGCACTGTGGCGCAAAGGTGAGATGCGGAGCAGATGGGAGCTCCAGGGAAAGGGGTATATTACCAAGGGGGGTGGGGGTTGCTTAACCAAGCTGGTTAAGGAGACGCTCGACGGCAGCGTTCACGTTGCCGCCGGTGGCCTGCAGCGCTGCGAGGTTGGCTTCCGTGTTGATGAACCCCATGTCCCTCAGCTGCTGCAACTGCTCTCTAAACGCCTCTTGAGGATCTGCGCAGCGAGAGGACCGGAGGTGAGTGAGTGCCCACGTGGGAAGCTAGCAACAGCAGGCGGGCGAACACGTACTGGTGACAGGCGGGGCCATTGCTGCTGGGAATCCGCCGCCGGCGCCCATCATTTGCTGCAGCATCTGCATCATCGGATTCAGCGCAGGCTGGTCGCCGCTCGCGGGAGCAGGGGCGGCGCCTCTGTGGGTGGACCAACGCGGCGTGAGCAAACAATAAAAAAAAGGTCAGCTCAGCTCGAAGAAGAACGCTCCCTTACCCGGTGGTGGAGGTTGGTGGTGCGGAGCCAGAGTCGGTCGCAGGGGTCGTCGATGAAGGGGCATCAGAGGTCGCAGGAGTTGCGGCGGGCGCGGCAGGCGGGAAGCCGAACGCGCCCAAGCCGCCCATACCTCCCAAGCCGCCCAGTCCACCCATACCTCCCATGCCTCCGGCAGCACTGAAGAGATGCGGGTTAGCCTTCAGTCGAAGTGAGTGCCAGGGGGGAGAAAGGACCGCGTACCCTCCGAAAGTGTTCTGCAGCTGAGACATGGCCTGTTGCATTTGCATCACGGCCTGCATGGTCTGCGGGTCGGAGAACCTCCGCAAGAATTCCGGGTTCTGAAGCATCTGGCGCATCTGTGGGTTGGATTGAAGCATCTGCTGGACCATCGGGTTCGAGTTCATCATCTGAGTATAGAGAGAAGAGCGCGAAACCGGATTGTTAGCGGGTGGGTGCTCTGGTGGGGCGATTCAAAGCTGATGAGAGCGACTTACCTGTTCAACGAGCTCGGGGTTGGAGAACATTTGCTGCATCATCTGTTGAACCATCGGGTTCTGCATGATGGCACCCATTTGTTCGGGGGACATGCCACCGAGACCGCCCATTCCACCCATGCCGCCCATGCCACCGAGGCCACTCATGCCGCCCATACCGCCGAGACCGCCCATACCTCCTGCCAGACCTGCGCAACATACCTTTAGTTTGGAGGCCTTCACGCACAATGTGAAGTCTGGAGAGACGAACTGGCGAAGGGGTTCTGCTGCTGCTGCTGCTGCTCCAGTGGCGCCCGATGCGGGAGCGGCAGAGGCGGGACGAGCCGCACCGCCTGCACGTGTGCGTGATAGGTAGGCGAGGTGAGCAAAGGAACAGGGATACGTCAAAGTTCAATGCAAATGGTCGTACCTGAGGCCCAAGGATTGGGCAGAGGAGCCGCGTTGGGCGTCGTGGTCGGCTGCTCGGTGGTGCCGCCACCGAGAAGGCTAGCAAAGGGATTGGTGGAGGCTGCGGCCTGCTGGGTCTGCGACTGGGTGGCTTCGTAGAGCGGCTCCTGGATGGTGGTGTAGAGCCTGCGAAGAGCGTTGAAGCCCTCGGGGTGCGCCTCGATGTTGCTCATCGCTCGGTCGGTGGTTCGCTGCAGCTCGCGCATGATCTCGGGGTTGGACTGCGCCTGCATGATCTGGCGAAGGGTGTCCGGGTCGTTCAGGATGTGACCCACCTCAGGGTTGTTCTCGACGATCTGGCGGATCTGCGGGTTGCTCATCATCATCGTTCGCAGAAGCTCGGGATTGTTCATCATCTGCTGCACCATCGGGTTCTGCATCATCTGCTGAACCATTTGGGGGTTCTGCATCATCTGGGAGTACATCTGCTGCAAATCGCCCCCGCCGCCGAGACCGCCAAGTCCTCCCATCCCACCCATTCCACCAAGGCCGCCCATTCCCGCAAACGGGTTTGTTGTAGCAGAGGGAGCGGCGGGCGTGGGCTGCGGGGCGGACTGTTGGGCAATGTTGTTGCTCGCGCCTCGAACGAGATGCACGGTGAAGCCATCCTTGATGGCTGCGCAGAGGCAAATTCGCGGTGAATAACCTTCAGATGAAAGCTACCACAAACGTCGGATTCAAGATGGCAAGCGAGGGGCTTACCGTAGCTTTCCACCGTTCTGGCATCCTTGAGGACATGGCCTCCAAAGATCAACCTTTGCTGCTCTGGAGGGATGTTGGTCTTCTCCTGCAAGACCTGCTTGAACTCCAGCACGGTGCCCGACGGATCCACCTCCACCACCAGCTTCTCGCCCTGGGAGCTCTTGATGGACACGCTTATCTTCCCTCCTTCGCTCATTCTCTCTGTATCTGTCTCTGCCCTCTTCTTCGCGATGGCCTTTGTGTTCTCTTCGATGTCGATCTCTCCCCAAACTCGTGCCACGTAAGCCAGCGAAAAACCGCCACCCGACTTTCTGCTGGCGCGGAAATGATATGGAAATTCATAGAGAAATGGCTCGCTCAACGGCGGCCACCCCGGCCACCTCTGCCGCCGCCTCGTCCGCCGCGGCCGCCGCGGGAGCTGTTGCCTGACGCCTTGATGGTCGCTTTCTTCTTCATGTCCTTGGCCAATTCCTCTTCGCTGTCCTCCTCGTCCTCGTCGCTGTCCTCTTCGTCTTCGCTTCCTTCCTCGTCATCGCTTTCATCGTCGCTTCCCTCTTCATCATCTTCGTCGTCTTCGTCTTCATCTTCATCCTCTTCGTCATCGTCATCGTCATCATCTTCATCTTCATCTTCTTCAGAGTCAGAGTCGTCATCGCCACCAGCAGATGAGCCACGGTTAGCGTGATTGGGGTTGGCGATCAACAGATCATCGTCAGCCTCCCCTTCAGAGACAAACACCAGTTGTGAGCGGCCAACACACACATCAGCCAAAGAAGGGCAATCAAAAGCGCGAGGCCGCATTACCGGGTGCTTGTTCGCCTGCTCTCTCTCGCACTCCTCAATCCAATCGTTCTGCACCTTGACAACCTCCGCACTGTTGGCGCACGCGGCGTATCTGTCCAGCAGGGTCCTGGGGAGTGAACGGGAAAGGGTGGCGCGTCAGCGAGAAGGCGAAGGGATTGCACACACCTCGACGATGATGGGCCGTTATGAGTGGGGTGGGGGCAGCCGACCTGTTGACTTCGAAGAACGAGTGGCCCCACTTGAACTTGCTCATGACCTGCTCGGCTTCCTCCTTGAAACCGGTGATGTAGAGCGTCGCCGCGGCAGCTTCGGCACAGGAGAGCTTCAACGGACGTCCGTAGTTAACGGGGTTGGCCGCCACAAGAAAAGGCACTGCGCCGCGCGTGACGAACCAAGCCGAGAAAGAAGAACATGGGTCAGCCCAGTGGGAAGGCGGTGCGCATCAAGAGAGAAGAAGAAGCAGAAGAAGAAGAAGAAGAAGAGATGCTTGCGTACGCAATCGATGGAAGCCGCCGCGCAGCTTGCTGAACGGAATGGAGTCGATCAAAGCCCACGAGCAATCAATGACGGAGACGCCGGAGGCTATGACGTGCTCTCTGTCCTCGGCGGACACGGACCTCTCCCCCATGGGACTGTGCACGGCACAATACTTCATCAGCACTGGGCAAGTCTGCCAAGAAGGAGGCCGGCAGGTTGTCTGACCCGGGCGAGTGATGGCTAGTGGTGGGGGCGTACCTGAGGACGACACCTCGGAAGCTTTGGCCCACGCGCATGTCTTTCATGTAGCCCAGCCTGCACAGCTTGCGGCCGGTGCACCTCTTGCCGTCGCACTGCCCAAAGTCCTGCATCATGATGAAGTGTAGAATCGTTTAACGAGAACAGCCAACGTGAAGACGTTGCGGAGATGGCGAACGTACCCACATAGCCAAATGGATGGGAAAGTGCACAACCTTGCCCTCATCATCTTCTTCAATTCCTCGAGCATACTCAGCGTGGCCTCGCACTCCGCGTGCCGGCTTATGGTGCCTGTGCATTCGTTAAATTCATGAAAATTTAATCTCTAGAATTAAGATGTACCTAGCGCGCCCTCGACCGCCGCCACGCCCCTTTCCTCCACGGGACCTAGTGCCATCCTCTTCAGCCGCAGCCTTCCTGCCTCTTCGCTCCATCTTGCTCGGAAAGAAAAAGATGCGAGGGATTTGTTCAATCTTGCAAACAAAAAAGAGTTGTATTTCGCGACTGTGTGCAGGGTCTGACGTGGCTGCAGCCCTTCACGACGAAGAGGATGAAGAGGAGGCCTCGGTGGCGGGGGAGGGCGAGGAGGGAACGGCGGCGGTGATGAGGCCATGCGCGAGACCGATCCGCTCAAAGATGGGCTGGAGGGCTGAGCGGATCTCCTTCCTTTCGCTCAGCATGAGGCCCACAAAGTGCCTGTAGAGGAGCGGCACATGCTTGCCGAACTGCACACACGACACACACACACACACACCAGGGGACCTTGATGAGACCACCGGGCTCAGGCAAAGGAGAGGAGACTCTGTGGTGGAGTACCTGAGACTCGTCGAACTGGAGGATGCCCTGGAGGATCTGCACCATGAGGCCCACCTTGGACTGCGAGTACGGCGAAGAGGAGTTGAGCGCCGTCTGGATGAACTCTTCGGCGAACTCGGTGATCAGCCTGTCGCGTGCCACACGACACACGGGTGTTGTGAGCGAGTGAGTGACACGAATGAGGTTTAGGGGAAAAACACTATGGGGGAGCGCGTACAGGGTGAGCCTCTTTTCGCTGACCTCCCTCTTCTCGGAGCCGTCGGGTTCGGCATAGAGCGTGAAGAGGATGCGCAGGCAGCTGCTCATGGCGGTCACCTCAATCTTGATGATGCGCGTCATCACGCCGGTGGGTCCCAGCCCAGTTCGCAGGCGCACGTCGTTGTTGGCCGAGTAGGCGAAGCGATAGCCCGAGATGATCGCCTCGAGGAACGACTCCACATTAGCTGCACGCCCACGCCCAACACCAACCCGAACGTCAGCGAAAACAGCCAACCGCGGTCTACTATGCGCGCGCTGAGCTCCATACCGAGAGAGAGGTGCTGGTAGTGCTCGAAGAAGATCTCGTTAACCGCCTGAAGGAGCAGCAGGTGGATAGAGCACCTGGCGACAGCGTTAAACAACAAAATTAAGTTCCAGGCCACAAAAAGAAGACCCAAATTGAATGTCGGACCGGTCGCTTACCTGGCGTTGACGGTGGCAAAGGAGGAGAACGCGTTTGGTGGGCGGTGAGGCGTGGACCTCTTGAGCTTGACCATCACAATCTCCTCGGGGCTGAGCTTGGCCTTGTCCAACGTCTCCTCCTCCTTCATCGCCTGATCATCGATTACACCCCACCCACACAACGATCGCGCCCGGTCAGTCTTCTTAAGAAGACG